GTCCTATTTTAATCAAAATCTAATCATGTTGGGTTCTCTGTGTTTGCACAAGTTGTAATTGGATGGAGCTGTATTTGCCCATACTTTGACTAAAATAGTTCAAACAAGTTGACTCGTTGACGAAGTGAGAGATTTCATTAAAGATGTTCAAGATTTAATATATACGTATGGACAATAATTTTTTGCATATGTGCTTCATTTAATTTTTTATATACATAGTATAATTTTCAACTAAGAGTGTTCGACTGGCTAGGCTATGCCGCTACAAGTAGCTAGGACCTCTTTACCAACAAAAATTTAAAAAATAAAAATAATACGAATAAAACATTAACATTTGGGTCCTATTCCACCAGCCCTAGATTTAGGATAACAAAATCTTTCCTCTTTGGGTAAACTTTGATTTTCATATATACCTCCATCCATGTGTCTGAATTTTATAATATTGGGTCAAAGTATGAAAAGTTGTGGGATTATTATCACAGAATCTGCATGAATTGTGGTTTGCCAAGTGGTTGGAATAATGTTAAAGCTAATTATCCAACCACAATTGGAGAACCCCACTGATTAAGCATCCACTTATTTCTTGATTAATTTTTCTTCAAATTATTAGGAGGTCATCAGCCTTACTAAAATCGGATCATTAATTTTCATACATATAGGTTAAAAAAAAAAAACCGAAGGCGAACATCTATAAGCAAGAGAAAGCACAAAATGTTGTCATCTGTATGAATTTTCTCATTAAGCTAATAGTTTATTTCGTCAAAATTCTAGAAAATCAAAAATATATATTTTTAATCATCGATCTCTTCTTTTGTTATTTAATTTCTTGAGGATTCCATAAATATGGAATCATAACAAAGTGACATCTATTGGCGTAGGGTTTCGTATTCTCTACTGCTAATTGTTGGATTTGATTTGTGAGAATGATTGGTTCCCTAATCAAATCCTAATTATATCTAACTACAGGTTGCTCCTTAATTAACACTTATACCTACTAGAGCCTAACTTTTAATATTACAATGTAGATATTAATATTTAATTGTATATAATTTATGCAACAAGAATTAGTTTAACTTTAAAAATGGTATTTTGTCTTTAAATAATTCCACCTCCATTATTAATTACTAACTATAATCTTACCTTTTGTCCCGCATAAAAATCTATATATTTATATAAAGGAGAAAGATGAAGCTGTTGATGTGGCATGTCTCTAAAGCCAAGAATAACATTTATCTTTTTTTCCAAATTTTTGACATTTATTTTTTAATTTTTCATATTTATCTTATTTTAAATTAATGTGTAACATAATCAAGTCAATAAATAGAAAAAAAAGATGATTCTATTAATTTTAAGCTTTTACTCTATGAATAGGAAAAGACATCCGTTTACCTTCAAAACTTGTAACTCCTAAATCCTAATTAACAGATAGGCCTTTTGTATTCCCTAGCCCAACTACTGCTTACTCCCATTAATTAGCATTTAAATTAATTGGTAATTAACAATTAACAATTAGAAATATAAGAAAGAGGAGATGTCACTCCCAGATTATTGTGGAAAATGAATAACAACAAAGATCAACTGCCATCAAGCTTTGAGGTATATATGTTTCCTGACTAGCAAAACTATCTCTTTTTTTTTTCTTTTTCTTTTTGACTTATTTTTGTTATAAATCTTAAATTTTATGTAGAAGCAAATAATATTTCTATGATATATATTTAGATTGCTTTGAACGATAGTATGATTTATAGACGATTTTCTTACATCTCACCTTTATAGAATATCATTTTATGTAGAAGCAAATAATATTTCTATGATATATATTTAGATTGCTTTGAACGATAGTATGATTTGTAGATGATTTTCTTACATCTCACCTTTATAGAATATCAAATTTGATTATATGAGATTTTGTTGCAATCATGAATGGATAGCTAATTGCATATGTAAGCGGGCACCTTATAGTTGATCTGTCATAATTAAGAAGGTATGATATTTCATGGTAACTTTTTATACTTGTAAAAGCTTTCTAAATTATTTAAAATATTTCATTGACTAGCTCAAGACATCGATGCGCCACTAGATTGACCATTTTCTTATCAGCATGGGAGTTGTCTTTCTATTATTTTTGTCAAATGCACATTGAGGTCTTATTCAAAAAATTGAAAGTAATGACACGTTTTGTTTCATTGTGATGTTTATTATCTTAGGATAGTGTACGATATGCATACTTTTATGCACATTGAAATTTTTATTTTATTTTTTGAAATTACTAATCTTAATATTGTCATTCACACAGAGTTGGTGGCCACGGGAATTTTGCAAAAAAGTGTTGTACTCAACACTTTTTTATTATAGTGATTCAATTTCATGACAATATAATATTATTGTATATTTTCCTTAAGTTCTTCTAAAATAAATTAATTTGATTGCACATATTTTTCACTTTCTTATTCATGACAATTTATTGACTACTTTTCTTAATTTCATCTAAAAAAAATTTAACTTAGAAATATGCGGTTGCACTTATTATTCACTTTTCGAATTCATCTAAATTTATGTTGTTCTCACATTTTTCTATATTTACTGCATATTATGGTAAATGCTATAACTTGAAGTTTAAGTTAATTTCTTTAGATTTTGTAAAGATTTTTGTAATGTTTTTTAAAATTTATCAAGGTCATGTTAGATGTTGGCTTATATATATTGATAATAAATTGGTTCATGTTTTTTGCTATGCGTTACATGAAGTTAAAATGCAAGTCATTTATTTAACATTTCGGAGAAATACCAAGATTGTTTAAATGTAAAAAAAAAGGCGAATTTTTAGTTTTTGAATTCTACTTTTCAAAAGTTTTCATTTTATTTTAGAGTAAAAAAAGAAATGTATGTGAAGAATATCATTTTTTTTTAAAAAACAAAGGCACTATCCACTGATAGTTTCCTTTTAACCCATTATTGTGCTGTATTTCAATTAATTGTATACGAAAAAAATGACACCTGAATTTAAGAAATCAACCAATTAACTAATGAAATTTCAATAAAAATATTCATATTTGTAAATGTAATCTAAACAAATAAAATATAGATAGATAATTTTATTTTTTATAAAGACTAAATTTACGAAAAAATATATATTTATTCGCTAATATTTTGATAATCGCACGAATCGCGGCTATGTTCACTGATATATAAATTTTCATGCATGACGATTTTTTTATGAGATCAACCAAGCACTATATTATTGTTTATGGAATTTTAATGTGGCATTAATTACTCCAATATATCACAACCAAACAACTCCTATGAGATCAACCGAGCACTATATTATATTATTGTTCAGAAATTATGAAAATTACCTTCATAGTAAAAGTAGAATTTTTTTCTCATGGTCATTCTCATCCTGAATAAATTAAACAATCTAAGTTATTAGTAAATGAATAATATTACGTACTAATTGTCTCCTCTCACAGTGGGGTCTACCCAACCCACACTCTAACCCCCATCCCCTCCCTCCCCATCCAACCAACGTCTATCATTATAGTATTTACCTAAATTATATATTGAGATATTATTTTTTATAATTATGTATTTACTAAATATCAAAATATAAGTATGAAAATTATTCATCAATCAAAAAATATTTACTTTTTGTAGCAAACACACCCTAAATCATGTGTTAAATTATAACATAATAATCAAATTTAAAATTGTGATTTTGTTTGACTAGTAAGAAGCAAATTAATGAGAAGGAAGTTTGGTGCAGCTGTAAAGTATGTTTGTCGTCTGTTGGGTATATATTGCACTACTTTTTGTTTGCATAACAAGAACAAAATGCTTCTTTTTCCGTTGTTACTGAAGGACATAATTCATGTAGTGTTATTATTTTTATTATATTATTATACATATAGACAAGCAAGTATTAAATAGAGTGAAGAGTCAACTAATTAAAACAAATTAGGATCAGGTCAACTTTGATAAGAGACTTTTAAAATTTAAATGAATGAATCCCCTAAAATAAGACACAATTAAGTTGGTTAGGCTGTTAAAATCTTGATGACTTGTATGGGTAGGTAAGCGGCAGTGGCATCTTATCCTTCATTTTCCGATGCACCATATAATATGCTAGCTAGCTAGCTAATTACACTGAAAATGAAATCTTTGATGTGAACCTAGCTTCATAATATTAATATAAGTCCGGAGCCAAAAGGGCAAAAAAAATTGCCAAAAATTTCAAAAGGGCACATCATATTTTTTTAAAACCAAAACGGCAAAATCGCTCCTCCCGGAGCGATTTTCCTCTGACACATATTAACACCGTGTACTTCGTTAAAATAAAATCGCTGCCAGGGCAGCGATTTTTGTCCAATTTTTTTTTTCTTTTTTTTTTTTCACTAAAATCACTGGCACAACAACGATTTTTTAACTCTAATTATTTTTCCTCCAACTAATATCGCTGCTATGGCAGCATTTTCATAGAAAAAAAAATTGGCAGCATTTTTGTAAAAACTTTTTTTTGGAAAATCGCTGCCTTGGCAGCGTTTTCCTTTAATTTTATTTTATTTTTGAAAATCTTTTCTTAATTTTTGTTTTAAAGTTTTATGAAAGAACAATTATTTTAAAAAAAAATTGATGACAAGGAGCCTGATTCCACCCAAAAATTTGGACTCGACGTAGAAATCATCAAAATGAGGCACGAACTTTAATCGGTGTCTAATTAGGCTACCTTTTCAGCGATTTTTGTTAAAAAAATTATTTTTTAATAAAAACGCTGCCTTGACAGCTTTTTAGTTAAATTTTTTTCTTTTTTTAAAAATTCGTTTCTCTTCAATTTTAATTTTTTTTAACAAAAATCGCTGAAAAGGTAGCCTAATTCGACACCGATTAAAGTTCGTGCCTCATTTTGATGATTTCTACGTCGAATCCAATTTTTTGGATGGAATCAGGCTCCCTGTCAGCAATTTTTTTTAAAAATATTGTTCTTTCATAAAACTTTAAAAAAAAAATTAAGAAAAGATTTTCGAAAATTTTTTTTTAAGGAAAACGCTGCCAGGGCAGCGATTTTCCAAAAAAAAGTTTTTACAAAAAAACTGCCAATTTTTTTTCCTATGAAAACGCTGCCATAGCAGCAATATTAGTTGGAGGAAAAATAATTAGAGTTAAAAAATCGTTGTTGTGCCAGTGATTTTAGTGAAAAAAAAAATTGGACAAAAATCGCTGCCCTGGCAGCGATTTTATTTTAACGGAGTACACGGCGTTAATATGTGTCAGAGGAAAATTGCTCCGGCAGGAGCGATTTTGCCGTTTTGGTTTTAAAAAAATATGATGTGCCCTTTTGGAATTTTTGGCAATTTTTTTTGCCCTTTTGGCTGCGGACTTATATTAATATTATTTACTTATTTTTTATCACTAATATGTATTGATCAAAAGACACAATGTATTTTCGGTGCATTATCTTCTTCTTCTTTTTTTTTCGTTTTTAGGTGCATCATCTTTATACTATTCTTTATCCACCTTTATACATATATATATACTTATCTTGTTTTTTATACAAACAGCAGAAAGAAAAGAGAAAGAGAAAAATACAAAAATGCTGAGCTTAATTATTTTTCTTTTGTTGACAATGACGTTGAAGTATTCTAGAAATGACAGTTTTCACTATATATTAAATGTCATTCATTTGTTGGCATTAAACCATTATCGTGATGTAAAGAATATTCAATTTTTTGTGTGGATCTTTTTTCCTATCCTTTTATCTTGTGAGTTCTTTTCCCACTTTTACCTTTTATTTTATGTGAAAGATAAAAGAATCTATTATTGATTAGGGGAAAAATATAGTATATTTTATTAAATATATAACTATTGAGAAATGGACAAGCGAGGTTAAAAAGGATCGATTTTTCCTCCTTGCACGTGAGATATGGCAAATTCAAATTTCGCAAAGCTAATAATATTTTAAGCTTATCGGAAAAGTGTCTAAATACAATGATAATAAAATGTGTCCATATTCGTTGAAGAATACATTCTCTTGTAACATGCAATTTGAATCTTGTAACAGCAACCATTTGACTTCTTATAATAGCTCATTTGGGAAGCGACCGGCTATAATAAATCAAAATCGCTTTCAAAAGAATAATTTATCACAATACAATATTAATAATAAGTTATTTACTACTTTTTAATACCCGCTCCATATCAATATTATAGTATACATGTTCCCTAACAACATAAAATTACGTAACATAGAAAATATGACACTTCCAATTTTCAAAGTGAACCTATAAATCTTTGTCATCCTGATCTATATCCCAGCGTAAGCGGAATTTGGCGAAGGAAAATTTCAGAATCTGCTGATTTAAGTACAACGAAATGTTATTGTTGAAACATATAATATAACAAAACATAACAAAAAAAAAATCAATTTCAAAAAGAACTTACTTGTTATCATCGATAATTCATTAAATTTGACCTTATTGGTTGCTGATTTTGCCCTTTAACCTTCAATTCTCACTTCACAGTGACTTAGATAGTTCACAAGAAACAAACTTTCCTATTAGTTTTTTTCATGGTAGTTACTATTATTTCTATTCTATGAGCATCATGTAAAATTACATTATTATTTAGTCACGTCAAATTATTGGAGAAATTTTTTGTTCTATGAACATTTTCTTATTGATTAAATCGAACTATTAAGGGTCAAAAACCGATAAACAAAAGATTGATAAAAGTATCTAATTGATTTAACATGTTTAAAAACCGTTAACCGATAACCGAACCGTTAATAAATCGAACCAAACCAACTTATCCACCCTAGTTAATAGACACTAATTCTTCCACGTACATTACATGAAATTCAACTTTTAATTCCTTCAAATGGGTTCAATAGTGACACGCAGTGGATTTAAATTCAGACAGCGCAGCAACAAAGGTGGAAAAATCTTTTCTTCCTTTATAAAATAAAGGTTGATAAATTTTAACCATGCATGGACATGAACAACTAATGACTAATCATAATAATAAAGTAATGGAGTATTAATTATCAGTGAAGTGGTCAAAACAATGATTGATACATACCAAGTCATAAGCACTATAAGTAGCAGTAAATAGTAGGTCATTCTGATTTTGAACACCCATGATCGTGAAATACAAAAAGTAACAGAAAATGACCTTTCTTAATTAATTACGTGATTGCAATTTTATTTATTTTATTTTGATTTCAAACATGTATATTGAAATTTAATTAAATTTTGGATTCGTATATTACATGACTCAGTTCTAAAGGTTATCTCCCAACATAATTTTCTTCATTTTCAGGAGTTAGATAATTTGACACCTTTGATTAAGGATAAAAAAATCCCGAACCATCTCATCACAGAGTTACCCATGTTAGTGTGATTGAAATTAATGAAATAGAAAGGACAAAAATAGGAATTGAGTGATGAAGCCCATATTCAGTGTTACTTCGTTAGGTTGGGAATAAGATGCATGGGGCTTGATATCGTGTATCGACAGAATTACTCTACCTTATTTTAGAGTATAGTTTTTTTTCTTCTCATGAACTTGGGCAACTGCTAAATAAGGAAAGTTGAATGTATCTTGACACACACATATATATATATAATGTTTTTGTGTCAGTACATATGCACACGCTGCTGCATTTGAATGTTGTTTTTGTCGTCTTAGACAAAGAGGGACTGAACATATGCCTTCTAAGCCATGTCCAAAATAAAGTCTAGTATTATATTGCTTGACGTAACATTAGTTATCATCGACCAACCATTTCTAGCAAAAAAAATTAGCTATCATAAGTAACATCGATCTTAGTCCTTTCTCTGCTTTCTATAAAAATAGATGTTGGTATTTCGTAGTCCTCATGATCATACTGTTGCTATTTTGCCTGCCTATTTATTAGACAAGAAGTACCCCTCATACACTTTTGATTATTTCCTATGATTTAATTAAAAAATGAGTATTATTTCCTCTTTATGGTAAACATATTTTTCGAGCATGCCTAGGTCTCGTTATCTTTATGGTAAACACATTTTCTTTCTCAGCACTTTCAGACCTCGTTAACTAGAGTGTAAACATTATAATATGGGGGTCCAATATTGGTGAATAAAAAAATTGAGAAAGATTTGACTCTGATACCATATAAAGATGAATCTTGTATCTAATTCAATCTCACAAAATGAAAAGTGAATTGTCCAAGTCTATATAAGAAGGCTGCTTGTAAGCGTGATCCTCTATCCTCTCTCTTTCTATCATTAGAGAATCAATCTCGTAGCCTAGCTTCATAGCAGGCTCAGAGCCTTTTTGAAAGATCAAATTTCCATCCTTTTTCGACGTGGAAATTCTTAACATCATCGAGGTGCATTATTGGCAAATCCACAGTTCCACAACTTAATTTATTAATGCCATACTTTTAAGAAAATTGCCAAGACGTGTACGTTGATGACCACTAGATACGAGTGTACTTTTTTGATATGGTAGGGACCTAGCTTATGCGTTAAAAGTTTCTTGTTTCTTTTTTCTTTTTAACTTTGCATGCATCGAATAAAATATTATTACAAAAAAATAGAATGTAGAATTCTTTTCAATATTTTTTCAGATTCATATTAATTTTGGTCATTGTCATGACTTTTTGCGGAATATATTCATTATATTATAAAATGATAATACAAATTTATGGGTATTATAAATAATTTTTAGAAATTATGAATTTAGATTATATATTTTTAAAATTCAAATATTTCTCTCAAAATCTATAGTCAAACGCATGATGAAACTTGACTCAAAAATAATTGAGCAACTTACCAAATTGACTATATTTATAGTGTTATTGAAGTTCAATAGCTATAAGTATGTTATTTACAATAAATGCTACATTTTATATCTTTTTTTGGCTGTATTTTTGTATACATTTTTTATTTTTCTATTTACATACTAATACATCTTTAAGTACAATTAACTAAATAAGGAATTGACTCTAAATATAACCCACTATCCTTATTTATGTCCATACAATGAGCAACTTTCCATTATTAACATTAGAACTAATAATTACTTATTTAAAGGCATACCCGATCATAGTCTTATCAGTTTAAATACTCCATTATCTTGTTGTCTCAAAAGATGTGGTATTGATATGTCATAATAATGACTGAATAAAACTTAGAAAAAACGTTAACTAAAAAATCAATGAAGGTAAAAACTAAAATACATTTAACTAAAAATACACAGGAATACATACCCATATATTTAGGATATACCTTTTGAGTAAATATACAATTATTGAATAAAAGTGATTTTATTTGTATACAACTATTTTTGATTGGATTTAACTTTAAACATGAACATGTTATAACCAATGTGATATTTTCGGAGCCACAATAAATCCTATTATATATTCATCCCGAACAAAGTTATGTTACCGATATTCCTTGATAAAAATGGCTAAAGAAGACGAAATAGTGTGAGCAATTAGTATTTAGCAATACTAATATACGTAAATATAGTTAAATTAGATACAACGAATATGCATACAAAAATATAGTTAAATACTAATATACATAAATATAGTTAAATAAGATACAACGAATATGCATACAAAAATATAGTTAAATACTAATATACGTAAATACAGTTAAATAACATACCACACATATGCATACAAAAATATAGTTAAATACTAATATAGATAAATATAGTTAAATAAGATACAAAGAATATGCATACAAAAATGAAGCCTATCAACGATTCTTAATTTCCCAGAAAGAAATTCACTTATTCATTAATTAAAATACTTTAAGCCATATTAATTAGGCATGAAAGAGAAAAAGTTGATGATGGTAAACATTGGGAAAAGATCACGTAAAACGTGCTGCAATAATTAATTAGGCATTCAATAATAACTTTTCTATTTTGTATTTATTTATATTTAATGTATATAAAAAAATATTTATTTGTGTATAATTAACTTTGCTATTTATTGTATAGCTATATCCATATATTATGGAAAAAATAAAATATAGCTATTTTTTTTTAATATATAGGTATATTTCATATTCTGTAGTTTTTCCAAAATAATTTGCCATTTTTTAAAAAAAAATGTGTGGCAAAACGTTAGCTAAAAAAACACTTTGGATCAAGGAAGTGCAAAACTAATGCGTAAACAAGTAAGATTGGGCCAATGTAGTAGTAGTTAGTTAGGATTGGGCCATTGTCGTAGTAGTTGGGCTCATAGTTGGGCTCAACAGATCAATTGGGCTTCATATGCGAAACCCTAATATACATATTGAAAGGGAAAGCAACACAGGTTTTTTTCTATCAGAGAAGAGAAAGGGGTAAGAGATAGAGCGCCGCCAAAATGCAGATCTTCGTGAAAACTCTTACGGGGAAGACGATCACGCTCGAAGTTGAATCGAGCGACACTATTGACAATGTCAAAGCTAAGATTCAAGACAAGGAAGGTATTCCACCGGACCAGCAGCGATTGATCTTCGCCGGAAAGCAGCTCGAAGATGGACGTACTCTAGCTGATTACAACATTCAGAAAGGTAAGTATAGATAACTGTATATGGACTTGGAATTGTATAGTTGTATCGGTTTTGTGATGGTTTCTCTGGGCAATTTTTGTAGAGTCAACTTTGCATTTGGTTTTGAGGCTTCGTGGAGGGATTATTGAGCCTTCTCTGATGGCTTTGGCTAGGAAGTACAACCAAGAGAAGATGATTTGCCGCAAGTAAGTTTTTTATTTTCCTTTCTATTTATGCGATTGCTTTTGTTTTGTATAAAATAATTTTGGTTTCTACTACCGTGCGTGCAGCTATACTAGTAATAGTGGCCATCTATGGTCTTGGTCTTAACTTTATTAGGTTGCCTTAGTCTTTGGAAATATTGAAATGCTAATTTGTGTCTAGATTTTAATTTCAATTCATATTCAAACATAATTATTTTAATCCCCATTTGGAGTTGATTATCCTGTTTAACTTTCAACTCATAAGTTAACTAACTAACCTTGCAGTGATTATTCATCCGGGATCCGTTTGAGTTTTGATTATTAGTCTCTGTGGGATTTGAGTGCTGTATTGCCTTACTATGTTTGCCTATTATGTGACTGGTGTTGCAAAGCGTAATGCTGGTGTATTTGTCTATATTCAGAACATAGAAGTTTATGCTTTTGACTCTTGCGTTGATTTGTTTAGAGTATAATACATTTGAAGGATTAATAATTATGGCATCCCTTGACCTGCATCATCTGTTTTGTACTTCCTTCAATCAACTAGCTGTTTAAGATGGTGTGTGGACAGTTAGCCTCTTTTGAGCAGAAGTCTTCTCAATATTCACCTAGAAACTATTTCTAATTATAAGTGCGTTCCAAAACAAAGTTGTATTGGTATTGTGCATTTTTTTTGGCTACTGTTAGAATGTTATGGTAGAACCCTGTGTGACCTGCATACTTGTGAGCTAAGTTGCTCAGACTCAGTTGCGGGTGCGGATCCAGAGGTTGGATCCTTCCCGACCTAATTTTTAAGATTTGGGGATATGGATCCATTATGGATACGGGTGTGGGAATTCGCCTAAAAATAATTAAATTATCTAAAGTTAGAGTTGTAAAACCTAAATTATGAGATATTATGTGGTGGAGAATCTTCGTATGAGATTAAAGAAAAGTAGAGTGACATAGAAATTTCTATATATAATGTATTTCATTTTCTTTACTTTCACCTTAGCTTTTGTATTGATTATAGAAATCATTAAAACTGTCCGGACTTTCCCCATCTATTTTTGTCAAAAGTACCCAAATTTGATTGTCCGAATTGGACACGGATCCCTCACCCACGTCGCGTCGTCACAAGTGCGGCACCGAAAGTGAAGAGTCTGAGCAACTTAGAATTTGAGGCTTAAATGACATTTCTGCATTCTCTGAGTTGGATTATTTATTGTAGAGCTTTTACTGATGTGGCTTACTCTAAAACCTTGGTTTTGACTGCTTAATCCTGATACCTGTCTATTTGTTCTAGGTGTTATGCTCGCCTACATCCTCGTGCTGTTAACTGCAGGAAGAAAAAATGTGGGCACAGCAACCAGGTTAGTGAGCAATTTGATTGTTTATTCCTGACTTGATTCCCTTCAAATTTTGGTTACGCAACTCACGAATGTTTCTTCCTTTGCAGCTGAGGCCAAAGAAGAAGATCAAGTAGGCGTGATACCTTGTTTAGCAGTGTGCATTGCAGTTATACTGCCAGTCTGCAGTCTTACAATTTTCTGTCCTGCTTCAACTTGCTGTAATGGATAGACTAGCATTTTTTGTTGAACTAAAAGTTTGTTGTTAAAGATATCACTGTGCCCCCGATCTTTGACTATATAGATGAACAAGCCTACACTAGAGTGATTTATCATCATATCCATTTGTGAACTGTTGTCAATGCTGTATTTTTTCTTGATATTTCCGCTTCATTGGCAGAGTACAATACTCGGTACTCGTGATTTGTGAAATTTAGTATGATGTCAACAGTGGAATGGAATCATAAATTCTTCGTAGTTTACTTTGATAAGACAAAAACAAATGTAAAATTTTAATCCTGAATGACCGATTTGTATGTTCAAGTTGCTCACCAACTTTCGAGTGTAGCTTTAAAACTAGAACACAGCCTTAGGCCTAGTTGAAAGGACCAAGCCAAACCCAAGATAAAGAGGGCTAGGTGAAGGGTCAGACCAAGCCGGGCTTTCCTTTTCTTGAAAATGCAAAATGGCCACAGAATTTTCTCTTTGATCGTGCCATTTGACTTGAAAATATACATAACTTTTTGGACGTTAGTTTAGGGGTGTAGCTTATACCAGTTTGACGACTGCAAGAAACAAAGAGGAAACTTTTGCAATGTTAACCAAGTCTAGTTTAAACAAGATAATTCATACGTATCTGAAAATAACAACAGCACTAACTACTGAAATTCTGAGCCAAAAATAAGCCTGCCTTCCTTTAGGCAAGTTGCTGTACATGCGAATGGAAACAATCCAAATGGGATGCACAGTTAGTTTCCTTGCAAGGGTTTGTCACCTTTATCTCTGTTGCATTTCTAAGTTAGAGTTGGTTCCAAAATTTGCGCACTATGGGATTGCAAGGATCAGTCCATCAACATCAACAGGGAGAAGTAACTTTTTCCATAGACAGCCAGTAGAAATAAGCTCCTGTGGCGGAGTAACCACCATTACATCATTGCTCCTTTGCAAAATACCAAATACAGTTATCGAGCTACCTTCCTTGATGTATCTGCCAAAGGTACAAAGAATTTCTAGTTATTAGTTTCCAAATACATATCTGCCGAAAGAATGGACCAAAGATCAAGCAAAAGCATATGTTACCCTTCCTCTAGACGTAGTAAACGAGCTTCAGATGAAAGATTCCTGTCCCTTAACCATTTTCTCAAATGAGAAGCCAAAACCTTACAATTTTTTGCTGTTGTAACCAGTCTGCTCTCTTTTATCAGTGGGATAACTCTGGAGTCCGGTCCAGCCTTGACAAAAGCTCTAATACCAGAGTTCTTGTCAGTTATGTAGAAGTCAGTTGAGAGCCTCTGCCAAAAGAAACTCAACCTGTTAACTAACTCTGCAGTGAACTCAAGTATATAATGTCAACCTGTTATCTATAGTTCTAGTAACTACAGTATATAATGTTCATACAAAAGGGACAATTTTGGCCAAGGGTAGACACCTTTGATTTTCATAATAGCACCATTCAAATAAAAACTAGGAGTTAGATATACAATGGAGGTAAGAAGGTTGATTAAATTTCTTCAATTCGCGTTTGGTGAAAAAGATAATGTGACCATTCAGTCTCCTTCAATCTTCCTCCTACTCTTCACCCCTTCTTGACAAGGTTTAAGCTCCATTTTTCTGCTCTGAGTATATCCTGGCATAGATTCTAGTATATTTCATGATGCCATGTGAAGAAACTTGCAAAGTGAAACAGGCTACTCGGGTCTTATACTATGAGATTAGTACATATAATTAAGCGCCCTAATTATAATAATGTCACACTATCTTTTCTATGTTAATAATCATATAACTGGTGGCAAGTGACCTAGGACTGGACATAAACAAGTTAAGAATGAGGTATTGACAGGGATGGTTCTTTAGTGAGGAAAAATAATGGAGTAAAGAGATGAAACTATCTTTTCTTTAAAGTCAAAACACTAGATTGAAAGGAAAGATGATATGCCAAGAAGCAACGTTAAAGCCGAGAAATAAATATCTTAGATCTTGTTCATCGGAATTGTTACAAAATGTAATGTTCCATACCTCAGAATAAGCAAGTCTCCATCCGAAGCATGATTCTTTTACATCTGCAGGCTTCAAGCCGAGTTTTCCACATTCAAACAACAAGGTGGATGTATAAACACATCGTCCAACCTTCTCATAAGAAGACTCCAAAGACACATTCCCACAAGAGACAAGCTGAAATCATCAAAGAGAAACAAGGCATCCACTGATGTCAAAAAAGGGAAGGGAAAGGTATTGTTCTGAACACCAAGCTAAATCATAAATATGTTTTTTATTAGATAGGGACAGCAAGCTCATAAATATATAGACTGAATAAACAATAGTCATATTCTTTGGTACATCTATGCAATAATGGACATAGTAAAGCTTCCTGTTGTCAATTTTACCTACCAATAGGATACAAGTCTAGTTAATCACAAAATGTCACCCTAACAATAGAAGTCAATAATTTCAAATGCACACAAATTTGTTCTCTTTACATATTTTCAGTATCCAACTCTTCATATGAAATTATCCATCACTAGGAAGGAAATGCACATGGATTAAAAAAATCAATCTTTTCTTGCATTATACAGAGTAGAAATTACTTTGACATTATCAATGGAGACAAGAGAAATCACAAAAATCGAAGAATGACTTCCCCAAAATAACTCAAGAATTCCTAATTTAGCAATCAGCTGAGCTTCCCAATAGACATTAGGACCAGTATTCTTACCATTAGTCATAGTTTCACAAAAAAGAACAACACCCTTCAACTAAAAAACACAAATATTACAGAAAATACCAGATTGAAGCTTTAACGGTTACCCCAGTAATCTTGACAAGGTGGCCATGGCGGGCGACGGTGAGGTCAGCATCAGGTAAAGAACGAAGATAATGGAGAATAGTTGTGTTATTGCGGAAAGAGATAGAGTTCCAGAGTAGAAAAGCAGCAATAAGAGCAAAAAGGAATAGGTAAGAAAGGAAGAAGAGAGGGTTATGAACAACAACAAGAATGAAAAGAGAAACAGCAAGGCCAAACAAGAAAAGGGCAAACACAAGGTATAAAGCAAGTGAGGGGATTAGAGGGACTTTAAAGCTTTGAGCTACATTTGAATGGGAGAAGTTGTTTTGGTTCATCCCTCTCCTCTTCTCTATTTTGCTGATTTGGTAATGTGAAGCTATTACAAATTTTAGAAGCAGATGAGGGGTTCAACTGTCATTTTCCTTCCCAATTCCATCTTTTGGGGTAAAGTATCTTGCACATTATCTTACTAATTAATAATTTCATATCAAATTTCAATTTAGATATATCACTTTTTTTTAATCAAAAACATGTATAAAAGGGAGTATTAGATATATGTATCTTTGCTATCAGATTCATTCTATTATATAGATACATAGAAAAAAAGGTGTGTCATTTATTTGGCACATTTAAAAGAGTGTTAAATGTCGCTAAAATTATGTTTTAATGGCAATTACTCCCCTCCATTTCATATTAATTGAATTGTTGAAACATTTTTCATTTTTCAAATTAACTTAATAGTTCAATTTTCAAGACTATTTTTAAAATGTTCTTTCAATTTTACCCTTCATTAGTTAGTATTGGAATTAGTTATTAATTAATGTTTAGTTATTTTAATCATAAATTTGACAATAATTAGTAAGGGTAAAAATGAAAAGTTATACCTAATTTATGTCTTAAATTTTTTTTTTTCTTAAAGGGTGTGAAACACCTCAACAATTCAATTAATTTAAAATGAAGAGAGTAACATTTTTTGTAAATGTCCCTAAAGTCTATAACTACATTTAATTCAATGACAATTAATTAATACCAATAAAAATTTATCACTTTTTGTTAATATGTATATTTATTTCCGCCGAAAAATAGAATTTTTTTCCATTCTTTTGGGGGCTCAATTTTGATATTTGTGATTGAGGGTGGACGCATCTCAATTAATTTAACAACTTATGTTCACCCTCATGAAAGTTGAGGTGGTTGACAACAATATTCGTTGCGTCCCATTTTAACGTTAAATTTAACTTTTTTTTATGCTAAGAAAAATAATAATACAGTTTATTAAACTGTTTCTATTTAATAAAAAGAAACTTTTTTTTCTTTTAAATATAGTGCACACTTCTTTAATGTTAATAATATAATTGAAGACAATTGTCAATTTGAGTCTTAAATTCCTAAGATAATAATCTTTGAGTTAAAACAAAATTAAGGGAGTATAATATTTAGAAAGTTAAACCATTATTCTATGATTATTCTTATAATTTTTTATGAAATTATTAATTACGTCTATTGATAATATGTTTTTTTACTTGATTTTAAAGTATGTGAATTTTGAGAATAATTTGGGTAAAATACAAATAAAACTATATATTTTGGCCTTCGTAAGTTATACTAATTATTTATTTTCACTTATAAGAGGATGGAGTAAATATATTCTAATAAGCTTACTAATTCATTATATATATATACTAGATATTAAGAGCCCGTGCTAGCACGGGCCCAATACATATTATTCTTTTCATCTCAATTTATATGACACGTATGTAATTTAAAAGGGTAAATAATTTTTTAATATAATTAAATACTTTAAATTATATTTATTGTAATTATATTATTTTTTACGTTATTATAAAATGATATAGGTTAGTCCTATGTCGCAATTTATGTAACAATGATAGAATTTTGAGAATCGACCAATTTTTTATATATTTTTTGTAAATGTTATAAATTATTAGTTATTGTGATAAATAGTACTTTTTACATAATATATTTAAATACACACACGGATATATTAAGTTATTAATTATTGTATTTTATGATAATTTAAATATAATTTTAAGTATATGATCAATGTTTTTTAAACAAATAAGACAAATAAAATGACATCAAAATGATATAATGCAATTGTTATTTAAATTTACTAAAACAATTAAGCGAAATTTTTCAACTAATACTAAAGTTAAAAATCTTTATTCAATTAACTTTTATTTGATTTAGAGAAGAAAATCCATGCAAGCAACACTTGTTGGCAATCATGTATGCGGACACCAAAGTGATTCATCACAAAAATAGACTTGACCTACAAAGGATAAAATTGTCTTTATAATTAAAAATAGCAAATTAATTTTGATAGATGTACAAGTCAAGCCAATGAAAAATGCTAAAAATATGAAAATTACAAAAACACCCTCAAGCAGCAAGCAGGCATGTTGACCTGCTGTTTGCTTGAGCAGGTTTAACTGCCTTTTATATTATAGTAGAATATATATATATATATATATATGATGTTAAAGTAATTCATCTTTCTTACTCTTTGCATATACAATAATATTGAGTAATCTACACTTATTTCCAAATAAAATTAGATAAATAAAAAGAAGAAATGCTTTTGTGAAGAAAGTAGATCAAATAATAATTCCCATTCTTATACAAAAAGTGGCAATTTAGTGATTGCAGTGCAATAATTAAATAATTGATTAGACACGGATCTTTATTGGTGTGCAAAGAGGGAATATTAGGTGAATTAGAATTAGAATACTATACAGCATTATAAGTTTATAACATTAACAAAACGAAAAAGCTTAATATATACCGCCCTTCTTAAATTTGTTAATAAATTTTATTTAGATATTCAAATTACGATATATTTCAATTAAGCATCTAAACACAAAATAAGTGTTCATATTAGATACTTTCAATTTAAATTTTGATTTTTTTACGTGTGTATTCTCAAGCGTCTTTTAAGTAATCATTTTAACCACAATAAATATATTATTCATTTAATTAAATACACAACCTCAATTACAATAGATTTGAGGTTTACAACTTACTGAGACTAATGCAAATAATTAAAGAAGAGAACATTGTTTAAGTGATTTACATATTTACGTAATAGACACTTGAGAATACATGTAAAAATTGTTTCAAAATTTGAATCGAAAGTATCTAATAGGAGCACATTATCACGTGTTCAGATGCTCAATTATAATAAGTCATAGTTTAAGCATTTAAATGAAATTAGCTAACAAATTATAAAACAAAGGAAAAAGATTTAGTATAGTAATAGTATTAGCATTATTATGTACTAATTCCATTAACAACTATTGTAGTCAACATGTGATTAAAATTTCAATAAAAGGCACTTTACTTAAAGTAAAGAAATAAATTTAGGGAACTCGAGGATTATTAAACAAATGTAGACATGGATGCAAATCACATCAACAACAACAACCCCAAAAGAATAAGAAAATAATAAGCCGGGTAAATTTCACGAAGCAATTCCTTAAATTATCAAATGGGTACTAAATCTTATTGCCAAAGGCCAGTAGAATTAACCTAAATTCATATCGTGTAAAACTTATTAAAAGTAGTAATTTTATTAGTTCAAATTATCCTCGTGGCCAAAGTTTTGACTTTTAAAGCTGGACAATTTTCAGTTCACTCGATGAAATTTGAAGAGGTTTAATATGGTGATTTAAGTTATATGCATAGATATTAGTGATAAATTTTAACATTTTTTGAGCAATTTAAGATGTTTTTTTAGCTAAACCATTTTCTTTTTAAAATCATTAGGAGTAATTGGATATAAGGATTAAATTATTCTAAGATATGACCTCTGAACTAACTAATTTATCCCACTTAAAAGATGGGATAAAATTAAAAAATGACAGCTGTGGGATTTGAACCCACGCCCTTTCGGACCAGAGCCTAAATCTGGCGCCTTAGACCACTCGGCCAAACTGTCACATGTTTTTAAAATTATCAAACGTTTAATTAATACATATTTTTTTTCTCTTTAATATAGCAATGCAATTTTCCAAGTTACACTACAAAAAGGTGAAGGGATAAATATCTAAATACTCTCTGCATACAAGGATTTTACAAAGTAAGGTGACTAGAAGTTGCGAATTAATCATGTCCCATATATATTTACTGCATTCGACTGGTATTCTGATTAGCCTCATCACATACTTCATAGATTCCAAGTTGTTACCTATATATTTCACTTGTCTAAATTCATGCTCCATGAAACCTTTAGTTGTTTCATTTTAGTTTTGGGATATATCAGACTTAATATTTAGTTGTTGAACTACTTGAAGCAAACTTATATTACCGACTAGTAAGAATAGTCCCGGGCAACAAATATGGACATTATTATTGTAAATTTTTAAAAATTGATACAATGTACGTGAATCAAATATGAAGCAAAAATGAGTTTGATAGTAAGTAGGGGTGTGAAATTTTAAAGACAATGTGTATTGTTATAGTTGACTCCAACTGAGTAAACGTTTGGAAGTGTTGAGATTGGCGGATGGGAAGTTAGTTAGCTTAACTGTACCAACAGCAGAACAAAATCACAAGTTATAGTCAAAGCATAAGTTTAGTCATATTTCTCTACTTGCACATGTCATTTAATGTCAATAGACGGAAGCAAGGAGGAAGAATGCAAGTGCAGCTATATGTTCATACAAACCAACAGTCAAAATCTTTATAAAGCTGAGAGCATGTGGCTCATTTGAATCGCCTGATTGTGGGATGGATGGCAACAATGAGAGCATGTGGCTCATTTGAATCGCCTGATTATGGGATGGCTGGCAACAAGCATTGTGGTTATGTTGAGAGAATGTGATGCCTGCCAGCATCAGGCATGTGTTTCCATGAATTTTGCAGAGACCACCTTCAAATCCTCAGCACTGCTCTTTCCATCCCAGAAAGAGTCGAGAGCAAATTTTCTTTGGGACCATACCCAACAATGTAAGATGCGATTAATCTGGTAACAGACATTCCACCTAGACAGGCTTGAATAGCTATTAAGGATTCATATAGTTGACCTGACCCCAATGAATTTGGAAAGAAGCCTGGCAGTATGACAAGCAAAAGAAAAAGCGCATCTTTCTAGCTTGGAGAATTTGTTTGAATCAGATCAACTGTGACCTAGATTGGGGGTGTTATTAATCCTTATTGGTGAAGAACATTCCAATTTCATCTTCTTAGAGAATTTAGAAACGCATTAGTACAGATCATATACAGAGAGATCAATATCATAATCCATGTTAATTCTATTATTAAATAGGAAGGTAGGAGAACAGGAGAAAACTATGGAAGCTACACCAATTAATTTGCATCCGAAGTAGCAAGAATAAGCTTATAAATTACCAGAATTCAACACAAGCAGAAAGGCTAGCCGGAGGAAATTATAGATTAAGGGCAAATCACATGAAATTTGAAGGAGATATTACCTGAAATAAGTGAACGAAGCAGGGCAAGCACAGAGAGAATGGGAGGAAGATGAAGCAACAGAGAAAGAAAAGAGAAATCCCAACAAAGATCGAAGAAAGTGCAAGGAATACACCTCTGCACATCTCCATTACTCTTTATGGGGGTATTTTTCAGTGTCCCATATGAAGTTTAGGTGAGACTTTGTTCAAATTCAAATCAACTGGATGTTGTCATTTTCCTGCAAGTAAATAGGCAATAACAAAATGTTCAAGTTTATCTAAAAAATAAAACCTGAACCATCTTATACAAACGTCAAAATTAAAGTGCTGCAGTGATACCTAACTTAACGCCTGTAAACTTCAATTATATAAAGAAATCAATCATCAACCATCCTAACGTAAAGGCATATTATATAAAGGCTACTAAATAAATAATTGAAAGATGTTTCAGCTACTGTGGGGCAGAAATCTTACCTAACATTAGCAATGCATATATAAGTAAAATCATAAACAGCATACATTCTAAATAAGTACATTGTATTTTTGGGATCTGACCTTTTCTGGCTGCGGAAGATGATTCTCTTATTGCTAGAGCTTGTTGTCTAGGTAAATCAACACCAACTCCATAACATGATGCTTCTTTCGTGCACTCAACCAAGAGACAGCAGCTTATACCACATGAATGAACAACTGATGAAGTTGCTAAACTATTACTGCTCGAACCCATGACTTATAGGCCATTCTAACGTTAGCTATGACTAATTTTACTATTCAAACCGATGATTTATAGGTCATCTTAATGTAAGATATGACTAACGAACCAATGACTTACCGGTCATCCTAATGTAAGCTATGACTAATTTTACTACTCAAACTCATGACTAAAATATATCCTAATACAAGCTATGACTAATACTAATATATATCCTAATGTAAGCTATGATTAATTTTAGTGCTCAAACCCATGAATTATAGGTCACATAGGAATATAACTCTTTACCCGTGATTAGACTCCCTTCAAATTAACAGCAACAGAGAAGGGAAAAATAAAATCTAGCATACATGCACCACATTATGAGGAAAAAAATAAATAATTATAAAAAAAACACAACAATTTAAGAAGAAGTTGGTACCATCGATTTTTTTATCCGCAGACATATCTTAAAACCTAATTTCTACAAGCTTCTATATATATATATATATATACGGTATGTTTGAATCACAAGTGAATCTCCGTATTCATTACTCCTAATTCCCACAATTATATATATATGGTATGTTTGAATCGTAAGTGAATCTCAGTGTTCATTACTCCTAATTCCCACAATTTTGAATCGTGACACATAACAATTTAATTCTATTAAGTACCAACATTTACTTAATTTAAGTTATATACATTCACGACGAACACTATAATTTAGCTTATAATAGCAGATTACTTATTATCTACATCGTGCATAAAATTTAAACTCGTTGCAACAACATCAACCCTCCAATAGCTTCTATTCTGTGTGGTTACTTTCTTTTAAACTATATCTCTGATTACGAGCTGCTGGAAATTATACTTGTCAGCAATTCTGGTATGATAATTACTAGTAGCATATTTCAAGGCATACAAACTAAAATCACCATGGACTAGTACTAGTATACAAGATTACAGTTTGTCTAGTAGACAAAGGGCACTGTAAGGCTGAGGTAAACTCAACTCTTATGAAAGTGAAAACAAAGGATGCTTCACTAAGGATGCCAGCATGCTCGATCAAATGTACAAGAGTCGCGAGCAATTTGGCATCTGATCATTTCTAAAGCCAACGTTTTAGATGTGTATATTTTGTCGACAATTCTGATTCAAGACCAGAAATCCCACCAGTGATCATAACTAGAACTATTAGGCTGATGGTTTAAGATACCATCGTCGTTTAGACTGCCCCAATTTTCAGGGGAAGTTAAAGAACTATCCCCTGCTTCAGCAATTTTCAGTAGATGATGTACTGCATCGTCATCTAACCCGAGATAATCAGCTTTTTATACTGCTGTCAATGTCATCATCTGAAATAACACCATTTGTTCCATGCTGAGATGATAAGTCAAAAGACAAGCTTGGCATCCCTTCCATTTCATTTTTCTTTATTGCAGCACATCTGTTGTCTAACTCGATTTCTTGCTTGCAACAGTACTTCCCCCTTTCTTTCTGCATCACATCATTCAGTTTTTGCAACTGCACATAAAAATAAAATAAAATTGGACATTAGTGATATAGTACTATGTTGTATTTAATTGGGTAGATTTGTGTAATTAAGTACCTGAATAAGCAAGGATTGTTTTTCTTTCTTTAAAGATTCGTACTGGGAAGCAAGATTGTCATAATTGGATTTAAGTATACTGTAATCCCTTTCGAGTTGCTTTGATTTCCATCGAGCTCTCTTGTTTTGAAACCAAATTGCTACTTGTCGAGGTTGCAATCCGAGTTCTCTGGCTAGTTGCAGCTTCTTTCTTGGTTCAAGTTTGGTCTCTGTTTCGAACATCGTTTCTAATGATTTTATCTGTTCATCGCTGAACCTCCTCGCGTTGTTATTGTTAATCTTCTTCTTCTTTGAGGATGATAGACTGCTGAAGCAGCTGCTACTACTGAAACACTCAGCAGACAGAGCAGCTGCTGAAGAACTTGGAGAAAATTCCCCTGCATCAAACATCTTATTTGTGAAATTTCTTGATTTGGGATATATATCTATGTGTGTGGATTGGAACTGGAAAATTCATGTATCTCTGTGGCAGTAGTTGACAGTTGATAGAATGGTATCTTTATGGTGTTCAGCTCTGGTGGGGAATTCTTTAACTTGTACCCATCTTTTTATATGGATTTGAACCAGGGATGGGTCCAACGTTACGAATACAATAATACTTTCTTTTTTTTTGGTAACTTATGATCATCGTCCATTGCTCATTGTTTGAACCCTCAAACTGTTGTTTGGGCGTGTGAATAAAATTTCATATAATTAAATAGATTAAGAGTCTATATATAAGATATGAGAAAAATTGAGAGGATTTTGTTCAAGTGGATAGTATCATATCGTATTAAGAATATTTTTGTTGGGTAAAGTTAATACCCTATTTATAACAACATCCACGAGGTGCTGAGGTGGATTGAGTTAGTGTCATGATTGTGTGATGAACTTAGTTAAAAAATAAAATTGCGTCTTTGATATCAGTTATAACTTAAACATTAATAGTAAACACTTTGATTGTAACCATTTTTGTACTGATTCAGCCCAAAATGCTTTTTATTCCACAGTTTATTAGATGATTGGTTTTTCTTTTTTTCCCAATACTGAAGGGTTGCCACAATTGGGGGTTTTAGTCGGCTGGCTTCAAGGCTCAAAGTCCCAATCGAGCCATCTCGGAATATTGTAAGCAAGGATCCAACAAGTACATAAGTATTATTATTATTATTATTATTATATGGTTTATGAAGCCATGGTGGAGTTAATTAGTGGTGTTTACTTGTCATCTTAGTAATCATGGTTATTTTCATTATAATATTAATATCATATGGTGTCGGCTGCGTGATTCACGTTTTGCCTTATGTTATTATTAAGATTCAATTTTCAGTATGCCCCTCTGTCCGATCCTTTAACATATTTATCATTCCGCTACGTGTTTTCGTTCGGATCATAATCGAGTGGATGACCAATTCATAGGACAAAATTCCACCTAACTCAAGAATTTTGATTCAAGTTATATTTATAGCATTTATTCTAATATATTGATATGTGGAAATTTTATTTTTAAAAAGTACTTGATGAGATAACGATATGTGATAATGTATTTTTTATTTTTAATTGTATTCTAAATATATTTTATTCGGACAGAATGGTGAAACGAGGAGAGGTAAAAAGAAAAAATCTTTATATAAGTGCACCGTGCATGTCTGTCAATTTCATGGAAAAGATAATTAAAATATCATAAGATATTGATTCCCAATATAAGCCATTGACAATCATTGTTTCATCCTTGTTGGAGTAATGCAAGCTGACTCTCCAAAGAAGTCCTTTTACTTATAGTGTAATTGTTAAAACAGCAATTATTACCAAACAAATAAATAAAAGTTCTTAGGTGATATCAAAATCAATAAAATATTCATAGCTCGTACTTTGATGGGTTGTGGTGCACTGATGGGAGTGTTTCACCCTTAACCAGAAGTTTCGGGTTCGAGTCCTGGTATGGAGAAAATTCTGTTGGGAGCGCCACCTCTAAATGGGCTCTGCAGAGCACGATCCAAATTTAGTTGAAACTCTAATGTGGACTTCGAATACAGGGTGAAAAAAAAAAAAAAAAAAAGAGTGGTTGAGCTTGATCGATGGCTTTCGTTAAAAATACTATAATAAGGAATGTGTGGCCTCGTCAACATTTCTTTTCATGTTGTTCCTAAAGACATATCAAACACGTGTGTGTTTCTCATAGGAAATTGAACTCTTCCAATAACTAGTCTTTATATTAATGGTTCACCCTTAGTTTAACCGTTGATTAAGAGATCATAAATAAAAAAATAATTTTTTTGATTTATAGTTTTAAAAAAAATTAAATTTTATAAACTTGCATACATTTTTTATAAAATAAATTAATTTTAAGAGATAAACAATTTTTTAAATTAATTTTATCTTGAATTTATAAATTGACAAATAATTATTTATAATAATATGAACAATTAATATCACATGGAAAAAGTAATGAGCAAATGAAAGAACATTAACGGCCAAACACATACATAGCCCCTCTAACTTGTTCAGATTTTTCATTTTGACACTTTATCTTAGCCTTATTCCATTTTAACCTTTAAACTCTATTTTTTATTTCCATTTTAACACGAAATATAATTTTTATGATTTCTTTATTTTTGTATATATTCTTCAATGGCAACTTCTTATTTTAAATTGACATGTGTCAGTTAATTTTAGTTAAAAAATTAAAAACTAACAAAAAATAATTCTTTTTAAAAAATAATAATTTCTTTTTAAGAGTGTTATGTATTTTTGTGTGAAAAATAACCGATGAAATTGTGTTGATTTTCTTTCTTTAAAATCACCGACAACCTAACAAAGTCAGTCGAGTTTTAACATTGTTTAGTAGTGTTATTATCAATGAACAAGAGTCTTTTTTTTTAGAAGCGTTATTAACAAAGTCAGTCGAGTCTTTTTGAAGATAGGTTTTTTTTTATTCGTATTGATTTATATTAAAAATTAAAAGTGAGTATTTGCGTTAAATTTAGATAGCCTAGATGATAAGAAAAAATAAATAAATAGTGTTATTTAATTTAATTGAATGTTTAAGAAAGAAAATCAAAGAACTTCCGTCAATTTATCTTCATGCAAAAATACAGAGAAATATCAAAAAATAATATTATTGTTTGAAAATTTTTATGTTCGTTCGCGAATGTTTAATTTTTTTACGAAAATTAACAGGCATACTTCTATTTTTTTAAAATAAGAAATTGCTATTGAAGAACATAAATAAAAACAAATCATAAAAAATAGTATAAGTATTTAAATGGTACATAAAAAATGGAGTTTAAGGGTAAAAATGGAATAAGGCTAAGTTGAAGTATCAAAATGGAAAATGAAGGCAAGTTTGAGGGGTTGTGTATGTGTTTGGCCAACATTAACGAGAAGTTGTCTTGACATTCTTTGTTTGTTCGGACCATCTTCAAAAAGTAAAGGAAATGCAAAACTTTTAAATTACTAATTAGAAATGACAGATACATTCAGAGTGTAATAATACTTCTTTACTATTAATTTTACGCATTGTTTTAATAAATTGTAAATAAAAGAGTGGTTTTATTTTATTAGTTTTTGAATATAATAAATATTCATTCCGTTCATTTTTATTTGTCACGATTTGATTTGATATACCCATTTAAAAAACAATTATTCATATAAGTGTTTTACAGACCTGTCCCTATTAAATAATGTTTAGTATTAAGTCTTGAAAAATGATTTGGAAAATAAGTATTTAATGTCGAGGGTAAGACATAAAAAAAATAATTGTCTTTTCTTGATATGTCAAAAATGATAAGTAAAAATAAAATTTTATTTTAGAAATAAATAACAAGTAAAAGTGAATAGAGGATATACAATGTCTTAAAAAATGTAATGAAGAAATGATTATAATTAATGATAAGGATAAATTAGAAACTAAGTTAAATTTTTTCATTAAATTCATAAGATGAATAAGTATTATTAAACATCTCAAAATAACATACTAATTAAAATAGAGTAATAAATTAAAACCCTCGTATTATGCAAAAAGTATATGTGATATTTGATATTTATCATAGAGAAGAAGAAAAAGAAAAAGAAAAAAAAGGATTAGGCTTAGCCGAAGAGGAGAGTGAGTTGAGCGGAGCCGCCACCACTATATTCTAATAAACATTTCCTCCATTTTATTATATTACTCCTTCGTTTAAATTAAATGACATTTTAATATAGTTTAAATTAAAATTTTATTTTTAAAATTTTCTATAAAATTAAAATAAATCAAATAAATTGAAATAGATAAAACACATATTATACTAAAATACAAATTATAAAGAAAACAAAGAATTTGAAAGCAAGTGAGCCAATAAAATTAGTTGCCAGACGACAAAACATGAAAAATGTATCACACGTTGTCCAACAAAAAGTAGCCACCTGGACAGGAAACAAAGCAAATCCCCTTACGTCGGTGTTATGAAGTGGCCAAAAATTGGTGGTTGAACTTTCGACAAAGCGAATTTCATCTTCTACCGATACAGGACACGTGCCCATTCCACTGGGGACCAACACACTTTTTTAAGTACAGGTGTCCATCCAAGTCCCCGTGTGTTTACGTGGTATTCCAAGGAATTGCCGATACTCCTCGTTAAATTCGTTAGGTCGCGAACAAAGTTATTTTATGTTTATAATTAAACGTCACATAGTATCAAATACTTTATTTTATAAAAAAAAATAGTTTAAAGTTTATGTATTGACTCGATTTAATCATTTAAAAAATAATTCTGTATCGACTTAATTAAAATAATTTTTTAAAAAAAATTATGTGTCAGTATATATGAAATATCTTTATCAAAGACATGTTTATTTCAATTTTGGACTGACAGACATCCTTGCATATCTCAAATATTACAAGGCCTTTAATTTCTTGGGGTCAAGGGTGGGTAGGTGGAAGTGAATGTTGCCACACAAGACTCCTAGGAACAAGTGGATGCATATTCCATAGCATTATTATTGGATCTAAATAATTAAAATATGTAATAGTCTTATATATATATATATAAAGATTTTTCAAAAATGGCAATTATCTATTTTATCAACGTTAGCCCCAATTGAGATTCATAACTATTTATCACCATCATTATCCGTCATATAATTTTTTATTTTTTATTGATGTAATAATGAAAATTTTATTAAATTTTGACATCATAATTTTTATTAAAAAAAAAAAAAAAAAAAAAACTTGAAGTCAAGTGTCTCAAAATGTAAAGTTGCACTAGAATTGGTTGATTTTTACCGACAGAATTTAGAAGTAAGTGCAATAAGTGCCTAAATTGAAACATCCAATATGATGTTCCAATTCTGTAATTTATTCTCACCAATATAATTACAACGAAGTTGTTTTCTTTCGGTTTTTGTTGGCTAGCTTCGCCGTTACATTCAAGTTGATTAAATATATGAATACATCATTATCATGCTAAACTTAAGCTTAGATCCAAAATAGGTGTAAGCTATAGTTTTAACATAATATTATTTTCTCTTTGGTTAGCTAAACTCATACTATCGGATTATTCTAACTTAGGAAAATGCCCTTTAATTTGTTGTGGTATCATAATTTCAATTTTCAATACTATATACTACTACACAAGGGCAGAGGGTAGCCTTCAAGATACGTATTAGGAGGACTTTACCTCATAGCTTTGACCCAAAATTTATATATATAATAAAAAATTATATTTAGAATTCAATTACTAATATTTGAGTTTATCATTCTAAAATCTATAAAATTTAAATTTTATGTTCACCGCTAATACCGTGTATATACAGTCTAGTTAGACTTATTTTCATATTTCTAGCTTCTTATATATACTAGAGTCTAAACCTTATAAAACAAAAGAGTGTGAATGACTATGAACCTATGGAGTATATTAAAAATTTGTGATTTATAGCCAAAAGTCGAATTCTAACTTATGATTTAAATATTTCTTACTAGTTTATTTAAGACAATAGCTTAAAGCTAACCATCAAAATAAGTGAAGGCAAACAGGTTTGATGTATCATAATGAGGAAGAGACTTCAACTATATATATAGCACATTCTAGAAGACATATATAAAGTATATACTATATGACATATATAAATAAAATAAATAATACTACATGTTGGTGGAGGAGTCACGTCTACTCTCTACTTTGTTAAAATGAATAATAAAGTGTGTTACGCAATTGTTAAAAATGGAAGGCTATATCTCTGACTCTGTCGGTAATACTCCCTTCGTTCCTTTTTATGTGATATTTTTAGGATTTTAAGATTTAAATAAATCTATTTTTTATCATAAGTTTTTCATAGATATTTTAAATATTTTGAATTATCAATTATTGTGACTTATAATACTTTTTACGTAAATTACAAATATATAAATTTTACTTCAAAAAAATTGAAAATTTCGTGCGCAAATTTCCATTCAAACATAAATTGTTTGACTCTCAAAAAACAAAAAGTGCAAATAAATTGAGACGGAGGAAGTAATAATAAGGAAAAATAAATAAACTCCAAAAGAAGCAATGAAATTTTATAGGAAAAATAAATAAACTCCTAAAGAAGCAATGAAATTTTATCTTCAATTTAACACTTCTTTAACCTTTCTTAGGGTGTATTTGGTACGAAGAAAATTAAATTCTTCATATATATCTACTACTAATATGTAAGTGTCAATAAGTACACAGCTGAGGGTCAACATGTCTGCTTCAGCTGTGCTTATCTTTATATTCAGTTGTTTGGCTTACTGGATTAGACTTAACATTT